TTTTTTATTGCTTTAACTAAATCCAAAAAAAATCGAGGATTCAAACTATATACAACATATAGAAAAATTCCAAAAATTTTCGTCTAAATTTCGAATTTTTTACTCTGAATTTTTAGAACAATTTAAGGTATGGAGTTTTAAAGCAAATACTATTTGAGTATAGCCAACAATGTGCTGCTTAAAATTCCCGTTGATTTTTTAAAATTTTTTTCCATTAATAAAAAATGGCGTTGATTTATTTTTTTTTGCGACACAATCATAGTGCGTAATTACATACCTGTCAATTTTTTCTTTATATTTAGATAGTCATTTAAAATATTTAGGCAATCAAAAGCTCCTCGGGATTCAAGTAAAATTAGTTTTGAATGGAGCGTGATATGTTCGTCTTATATCGATATACATTTATACGTATGTAATTATATAAAAAGTATGCAAAGAAATCTATAATATATTTAAAGATAACTACGAAAAATAAATCGGGAACGGAAAGTTCATCAAAAATCTATCAAAATGAGAAAAAATTTACCTTTTTACCAACCCAAATTTTTTCTACCAATTTTGGTAACAATTTACCAAAGTGGCAACCCTGCACAACCATTCAAAAATATGTATATACATACATGAAAACATTGCAGTCCATAAGTACATATGTATATTTATTTATTTATTTATTCAGTCTACAGGTTATCCTTACAGACTATTTCTAATTTAAAACAGTAAATAAATCTAATTTAAATTTTGATAAAGTGACAGTAAAATCTATTTGATGCGCATAATTATTACTTAGACGTATACTTCTAGCAATTGGCTCGTTATAGCCATAATTAGTTCTATGAGACGTTTCGACAAGTAAGCGATTATGCCTTAATTCACGCGACGAAGTATTAAAATTCATCGCAGTCAATTTTATGATTTAGTAAGTGGTAAACTAATACTAGTGCGAAGTAAGTTCTCCGGTCTTGTATAGATTGTAAGCCAAGAAGTTTGCGTCTTCCAATAGAGGGCGGCAAACCGCTAGACCAATTTAGTTTGAGTACAGCCATCTTAGTAAAAGTATATATGTCCAGCCATGGGCAATGGCGAGCCCATTTCGCGGGCTATATCAGGGGAAAATCATGGGCAAACATCGGATCTTACTCATACACATGTGTAATAATAGCAAGGTGTTGTCAGTAATTAACCTCACTTTTTCGGCAGGTCTATTCCGGTAACGCATTTCAAAGTACTAGAAAAGGTACTAATTATTTACTACTTTTAATCCGTTGGAGCATACTATTTCAAATTAAATGTAGAACAAGTAAGAAAGTCTAATACCCGGCGCAAGTGTTAAATATATGTTTTCCATCTTTCCGAAAGCTACCGCCACATGATAAGCCGGGGTGTATAAATTTTAAGTAAATTAGCGTCCTTAAATTTCGAAATATTGAAATTTCAAGCATTTCTGAAATTTACCGTTGTATGAAAAGCGGCCGTAATTTTAGTCCGATTTCAACAATTTAACGGTTTGCTTCTTTGTGGCAAGCACAATAACCATACCGAGTTTGGTACAAATTGCTAGAACGGTTAGCGAGATACATATATGTGATCATAAGTGGGCGGTGGCACGCCCATTTTCCAAAAGGAGTTGCTTATACGCCGCTATGTCTGAATTTGGCATCCCCTCAAAGCTCATACGGCTGTGTAAAATGACGTTGAGCAATACCACCAGCTCCGTCAGAATTGGGAAAGACCTCTCGGAGCCGTTAGCCACTAAACGGGGTTTCAGACAGGGCGACTCCCTTTCATGTGACTTCTTCAATCTGATGTTGGAGAAGATAATAAGATCTGTAGAACAACAAGGAAAAATTTACTACAAGAGCGTGCAATTGCTGGCTTATGCCGATGACATCGATATCATCGGTATCAAAAACCGCGAAGTCTGTTCTGCCGTTTCCAAGTTGGATAAGGAAGCAAAGCGAATGGGTCTGGTGGTAAACGAGGACAAGACGAAGTATCTCCTGTCATCAAACAAACAGTCAGCACATTCGCGCCTTGGCACCCACGTTACTGTTGACAGTTACAATTTCGAGAAAGTAGAGAATTTCGTTTACTGGGGAACCAGCATTAACATCGATAATAATGTCAGCATGGAAATCCAACGCAGAATCACTATTGCCAACAAGTGCTACTTTGGACTGAGTAGGCAATTCAGGAGTAAAGTCCTCTCTCGACGTACGAAAAACACGCTCTATAGTCACTCATCATGCCCGTGCTGGTATATGGCGCAGAAGCATGGACAATGACAACATCCGATGAGGCGGCTCTTGGAGTGTTCGAGAGAAAGATTTTGCGGAAGATTTACGGGCCTTTGCGCGTTGGCGACGGCGAGTACCGCAGACGATGGAACGATGAGTTGTATGAGCTTCACAACGACATGGACATAATGCAGCGAATTAAATCGCTTTGGCGGTTACATCGTTTTGGCGGTTACAGCGCCAAATAAGAAGAAGAAGAAGAAGAATAAAAATGGAATCTTTAAAATACAAGTAATTTTTAGCAAAAAAAAAATGACTTCAACTCTCATATAAAAAAAAAAAAAATATATATATATATCTCATGATCCACTAATCGGATCTTAACCAGATTAGTATGGGACCACCCTGAGACACTACCTTTCCGATGCAAAAAGAATTATCGAAATCGGTTGACGTGGTCCAAAGTTATGCGGTAACATACATAACAAAAAAAAAAACAAAACAAAAAAAAAATATTCCGACGAACCGATAACCTCCTCCTTTTTGGGAAGTCGGTTAAAAAGTGAAAACTAAGAAAATATGCAAGAATCGAATATTAAAAACGTTTTCTTATAAAAAGAACGGTCCAAAACGGAACCGGTTAAAAACTAGTTGCAAAGTAATGCACAGGGCGACAATTGCCACCGCCAATGACGTCACCGTGTAAAACTGGACAGTTGAAAGCATTACTTGGGTATTGAGCTAGAAATAGTACTGTCGGCAAAAGGTCTAGTTCTACGCTAGTACTGAGCTAGTAAGATTTTCTGCATGGTACATACCCTACAGTGCGCAAGTGTCCCCTTGAAATGAAGTTACTAGTTCAGAGATAGTATCTAACAGAACAAGACTTGGACTGGTTGCTTTGTTATACGACGAGGGACACTGAATATTTAAAAAATTCGGATTTCTGCTGGCAGACGAAGTGTAAAAAATTCAAATCTAACCACGAGTCGTTCATCTATGCAAGGCAGTATTGCCAGAAAATCATTTCGTTTGGAGCTAAATCGGTCGAAAAAAGGAGCTAAATAATACTAATACATAGTAGCTAAAATGAAGAGCTATTTTTTTTTAAAGTTGAGCATTTATTGAAGTAAAGTTGCTTTTACATTTTCCGCTATTTTAATAAAAATAACAAATTTTATAAATTTAAGTCCTGAAAACAACTTTTACAACGAAAAAAGGTGCAAATATTCACTGCTACGGTAATTATAACACTTAGCATACACATGCATATTAGGGCGTTTTTTGCGACTATTGTTTTTTTTCCACTCCTACCTCGAAATTTTGTGGAAAACTCCTTTAAAAAAACTCCATACAAATTTTAACTCTTGATATTAACATCAAGTACTCGCCCAAGGCGTCCAAAGACTTCCCATATAAAATACACGTAAACTTTGTTTTTTTTTTTCAAAACTCTACAGCTCAGAGGAATTTTATGATATAATTATGGTCAATGACAGATTTTCTTCAGAATTGAATGCTCTACAAAAGTGTCCATTGCCTCGTAACTCTCACTCCCACTAGCGAGTTAGTACGGGTCACCAAACCTACTATTTTGATTAAATTCGAGTTTTTTGCCGCGGGATCAGCCTTCTAAGCATAGGTTACAAGGTCTTATCGAGCGTATTGTATGAAAGACTGAAGCCCACCGTCAATGAACTGATTAGGCAATATCAGTGTGGCTTTATACCTGACAAATCCACCAGGTATTCACAATACGCCAAATCTTGGGAAAGACCCCTGAGAATTGGATCGACACTTACCATCTATTTGTCGACTTTTAAGCCGCTTTCGACAGCATTAAAAGGAGTTGCCTATATGCCGCTATGTCTGAATTTGGCATCCCCTCAAAACTCATACGGCTGTGTTAAATGACGTTGAGCTATACCACTAGCTCCGTCAGAATTTTGAAAGACCTCTCCGAGCCGTTCGCTACCAAACGGGGTTTCAGACCAGTGTTGATAATTTCGATACAATTGTACTTGTTTGATACAATTTTAAGTGCTTTTTTACTTTCCTACTCCCCAGCACTTTTTATTACAATTTCATCTGTAGCCAAAGTTTGGCAGCACTTGATTCGTTAAGTTATACAGCACTGTTTTGATTAATTTCTACAGTGATAGACTTAGAATCACATAAAATTTATATACGAAACGTATATTGTGGAGCAGAAGCAGAATTGTTTATTTTTCAAAACAAAGGAAAACTAAAATAGGAAGATATACTAAATTTTAGAAAAAACGTAAAACAATTTTGTGTAAACTTTTGTCGTACTATGAAGAAAAGAATTAATTCTAATGAGGAAATTGCTAGAATAGAAGACAGAAACACAGAACTTAGGGCTGAACACCTGGTTAAAAAATATTTGTCAACCTAAATATTTGTGAGTTTTGGGAAAAAGTACGAATCACCAATAATGCTTTCAATGAGCCACTGTCTGTGATACAAAAATGTATCAAAACAAAATGTCGAAATAGACTTCAAGGAGAAACAATTTCCTCTTTAATAAGAACTAGAGATTATCTTAATTCTATTACAATGCTGTCATAAGGTAACATTGATAAAAAGTTCAGACACAGTTCTTGTTTTTATTTTACGTCCTTTTTGACCTATATAACTATGCTGGAATTTGCAAGTTAGTTTATACACTCCTTGTTTATCCAATGTTTCTTCTTGATTTGTGGTGTTCCGTAATATCTTTATATTTATATACATTTATGTACTTACATGCATGCATTTAAAATCATAATATCTGATGTGATAGTAAATAAGTCGCTGAGCCGTTCGGACGTGTCTACGCTAAGCTCTGTATTATTGCCGTGTATATGGTTTTTTAGCGAAAGTTAAACGATATTGTAATTTTACTTGTACACTTAAAGCATGCCTTGCACGTGTAAGCAAAAGGTCGACCGTGGTCGCCAGAAAATTCAGTGCGTTCAATGTAAAGAATTTTTTCATTTAAAGTGTGTTAATTTATCGGAAGCCGATGTTGACTTTTTGCATAAAACCGATCGTGCATTTTGCTGCTCATCTTGTACTAAAGTTCGGCGGGACTCACTTCGCTCTCCGCCTCCACCCCACACCGCGACCAAGCCTTTGTCGGCTGTGGATGTCTCTGCTGCTCTCGATGCCCATCAGAATGTTCCAGTAAAACAACAACCGCTGCCTGGCGAGCCGGCTGGAGCTCAGAAAAACAAGCTAAAAGGGCATTCGAATAGCAATGAGTTGGAGTCTACCCTCAGTGTTGTTCTCAACGAAATTGTTGGGCTCAGAGCTGAGAATGCACGAGTGATCTCTTTGCTTCAATCTTTGTTTGATGAGAAACATATCTTACTTGAAAAGGTTGATAGTCTTCAAGCTGAGCTTCGCAAAATGCAAGATATGCCAATTAACGTCGTGCCTGCTGTAAACATTGCTGATGCTGACTTGTCTATTATGCATAACGGTTGCCCTCTCACTCTCACTCCGTCTTCTTCTTCGTCTGCCGCTCCTA